CACAGGTGTAAAGCTGAAGTGGTATTCAGTCGGGAAACACATTTCCGCAAGGACTCTGCACCATCACTTAGATCCAGATTTTACACAAAGTGTTATTTTAGCAATTTCACAGGATCAAAATCTAGGGGGATTGCAATCCTACTGTCCCCACACATCCCATTCACATACAAGGAACACGGTGCAGATGACACTGGCAGATTCCTATTTCTGAAGGGACAGATAGGGAACACCACATTTGCTAACATATATCTACCCAATAGAAAACAATTCCCCGCATTACACACAATACTCAAAAAATTGGAAACCTACACAGAAGGCCTTTTAATTCTCTGGGGTGACCTAAATATCTCACCAGATGGGGCTTTGGACACTTCCTCACAGGCCCAATCATACCAAACCACAATGAGGACACAAACACAAAAACGCCTTGACTCGCACCAATTATATCACACCCGGCAGAACGAGACTACTCATACTACTCCCACTCGTCAAGATCCTATTCGAGGATCAATATGTTTTTTCTCCCACATAGATTCCTCAGTCTCATAAGATCATGCAATTACGCCCCCATAACATGGTCTGATCATGCATCCCTCTCCATGATCATAACAATCCCGTTACTCCATCCAACCAGGGCACAATGGAAACTGAACAACACACTACTGAACAATCTGGAAATACAAACCCAAATAAAAGAGAGTCTAGACCTATATTTTAAGCTCAATACACATCCAGACAAACCGTACCCTATCATTTGGGAAGCCCACAAGAGCACAATTAGAGGAGACATCATTAAAATTGCCTCCAGACACAAGAAACAGAGGGAAGCACAATCCGTATGCCTAACTAGGGAAATTAGAGACCTGGAGGAAAATCATAAACATGACCTCAACCTAGCAACCTATAAAACATTACTGGAAAAGAGGACGGAGCTCAACACTATGTTGAACGTCCTTACCAAACATGCATTAGCATTTACAAGGAGCCTGTATTATGCCCAAGGGGGAAAGAGTGAGCGCCTGCTAGCTCACTCTTTAAAAAAGCAAAGGGAAAACACCTTTATAGCTGCCATACGCAACACCAAGGGTAAACTATCCCATGTAGTGGCAGACATCTCCGGAGCTTTCCACGAATTCCACTCCTCGCTCTATAATCTGAGACAAACGGCTCCCTCACCTGTGGAGATACACAGCTACCTTGCCAAGAGAATACACTCCACGATACCACCAAATGTTAGGGAATCCCTAGAGAGTTCCATATCAAGGGAAGAGTGCCTGGACGCGATCAAACATCTGCCACTAGGGAAAAGTCCAGGTCCCGACAGTCTTACAGCAAAATACTATAAAACGTTCACCACGATACTTGCACCGCACTTTCTAAACTCATTTAACTCACTACTCACAATGGGAACGCTACCCGCCAAGCACTAAACGCAACAATAACACTGCTGTCTAAACCAGGTAAAGATGTGGAAGCTATAGGCCGATTTCTCTCATAAATATCGACCTAAAAATGTTCACAAAAATATTAGCAAATCGACTCCGCCCACTCCTTCCTGAGCTGATACATGCGGATCAATTGGGGTTTTTTCCCGGCAGGGAGGCAAAACATATTACCACCAAGCTACCTAACCTCATACACCACAAAACACGTACTCAGGGCTCCAGTCTACTTCTGTCATTAGATGCCGAGAAGGCTTTTGACAGGGTGGACTGGACATTAATACTAGACACGCTATGACACATGGGCTTCGGGCCCAACTGGCAAAAAATGGGTGAGTGCGTTATACGTCAACCCCACAGCGAGAATACATATCAATGGCCAGCTTTCAGACCCGGTATCGATCACAAACAGCACCAGGCAGGGCTGCCCCCTTTCCCCACTCTTATTTGTTTTGGTCCTAAAACCATTTCTAAAGGGGATCAGGGACAACGCCTAAATACAGAGAATTCGGGTAGGACAGGAGGAGCACAAGATCGCTGCATTTGCTCTTCACACTCTCAAACCCCACGGACTTGATACCACACCTGATGACAGAAATGATCAATTATGGCAATCTCTCCAACTTCAAGGCCAACCTTAGCAAATGTGAAATCCTTCCGTTACATATTACTGCGGAGGTCAAAGACACCCTATAATTCACTTGAGCAGCAAATTAATTGGGCAGTCACATCAATTCACTTGGGCAGCAAATTACATTAAATATTTGGGAGTGCACATCCCTAAACACTTATCGCGGCTAAATTAATGCAACTTCCCTGATCTACTTAAGGCCATAAATGCGGATCTGACTTCCTGGAATAAACCTCATCTTAGTTGATTTTGCAGGTTAAGCATCCTAAAGATGAACATTCTACCCCAAATCTTATACCTACTGAAAGTCCTACTCATATCAATACCCAGAGCGTGGTTTACACAAACCTGCAAAACACTCACATCCTTCATCTGGGCTCACAAAAACCCACAACTATCCTTTTCGCTTCTCATTAGGCCGAAAGATGAAGGGGGCCTGGGTCTACCAGACATAGAAAATTGCCATAAGGCGATTCTTCTCTCCAGGGTATATGACTGGGCACTCCCAAACTCCAACAAACAGTGAGTAAGGGTAGAGAACACATTCTTTAGGGCCCAAATATATACGATACCCTGGCACAAAATGGTTCAAACCTTGCTACTTACCAATGTGCACCCCTACACTCCACATGTGGGCACAGCTTAGAAACCACCAACATATATCCCCATACCCTTCACCACTGTATCCAATCACTCACAACCCTTTATTCAAACCAGTAGAGGACGGCAAAATATTCAGACTGTACCACAACTCGGTGTACTTAAAGCTAGGGGACCTGTTAGGGGAATCAGGGATAAAACCACTACACGTTCTCACAACTCATAACCCACAATCAGCAATCCAAAATGTCCAATACCGCCAATTCCTTCACTTTGTTAAAACAGGAATGCTAGCCTACAACACTAACAGAGCACAAACAACCTTTGAGCAACACTGTGTCAAACAGACAGTAAAGAAAAAACTTCTCGATAATGTATGCCATGATTGTATCTACACAACCCGTCCTTCACCACGACATGGGAAAGGGAACTCAACATGACCATACTAGCTGAAAAATGGCATGAAATATTCAGATAAATCCATAAATCCTTGAGGAACACGATAGCACAAGAATGCAACTACAAGAGGGTTGCGAAGTGGCACTATACACCAACCAAACTCCAGTCCCTCTTCTCTAACTCGACCAATCAATGCTGGAGATGCCATCAACCTAATAGCAACTTGGCGTATATCTGGTGGACCTGCCCAGAGATACAAAAATTCGGGAAACGCATCTCCGGAATGATGCAAACTATCCTGGGAGTCAATGTTCCACTTAGACCAGACACATTCCTTTTCCTCTTACTCCCACAAGCTGTACCAAAAACAAAAGCGGACACTCTTACTACACCTCATTACGGCTGCAAACCAGCTCATCCCGGCATTGTGGAAGCAGCCAAACCCACCATCCATACGTGAATGGATACCAAAAGTCGAAATCACCAGGAGTCTGAAAGAAACATGCCACTCCCTCACTAATAAATACCATCTATACACCTCTATATGGCAACATAGTGTCGATACCTACAAAATCGCTAAACATAAGCCCCCAAACCCACCCCACTCCCCCTTGGGTGGTGGCACAGAAATCCACAACCAGTAAACTTTAAGACTGCTTCACACATACAAGAAATGCTCCCACTGTGACTAGTCAGCAGATAAACTTGCAGGAATACTGGGATATCAGCCCAGCTACGACTGACGTCTAATATATCAAATGCACAAATTAAACATGGTAGAGTGAAGCTCACTGACAGAATTGACAGTCGTAATATGTAGAATTTGATGTTCACGAATGCAGCACAAATGCTGTTACAATATGATTACAAATGATGATACAATATGATTACAAATGTTGTAACAATATGATTCCAAGTATTCCAAAATCAAACCATACCTGAAAAAAAAAAGAATGTGACCGTATTGCATACGGTAACTGTTTGTACTACATGCAAATTTCCAATAAATAAAATTTGGAAAAAAAAAATATAGCAATATGCAATTGTTGGAGAAATTCTCATCCAACATATTAATATTTGATTCTAATAGATTAAATAATTAATGAGTCATAAAAAATATACTGTTTGATATAAATACAAACAGTATATATATATATATAATTAATACATAATATACTCATACTAGAATGATATTTTATTTTAAAATAGACATGTTATTGATGAGGTAGAGGAGCTTGTTTAATAAACTTGGAGAGGTTTTAGCAGAAGTAGACAGAGACAATCTCCTGGAGTATCCACACTTCTGAAGAAGCCTAAATCTGGGCAAAATGCATTAAGTGAGGACTGGAGCACTTTACCATTTTATCTGCATTTTCTTTTATTCAATATATATTTTAAATACAATAAAGTTGATTGTTAAAATATACCTTTATTTTATTATTTTACCTTATCCTGCTGCTGCTCTACTGGATTTGATTCCTACACATCACAGGTGGGGATTGTACCACCATAATCCTACATCACCAGAGCAAGTCATTGCTCTGGAAATTGTAAGTGGGATACCTACTTGTTTTTACATCTTCTAGTACTTACATTATACTGTGCCATTGTTTTTTCTTCCTTTGTTTCTTCTCTCTATATGATTGCTGAGAATTGGATGTCCAATATAAGGAATACTCATACATCCTAAAACGGGGATTATACCATACACGCGCTAAACAGCAGAGCTCTCAGTAGCTCAAAAAAGTGTGACTTAGTCTTTTATTGAGTTTTAAAAAGTTTTAAAACATGGTTGATACATTGCACTATTATTTTTTTTTTTTCTATTTTGTTTTGAGGTCATTATACATCTGCACAATACTGGACCTCATTTAGTGTATATATAAAGATTTATTTTTACGCCTTCCTCCTTTCGTGGTTTTCCACAACTTTTTCTTTCACATTTTGTACTTGAGCAAGGGTTGGGAATACTTGCTGGTTCACTGCTGCCTTCCATCCTTTTATTTTAGTTAGTGCCTATTCATTGTTGTTTTGTGTATCTTAGTGTGTGCATTTGCCAGTGGGTGTATCGTGTGTCAGAGTGCATATGTGACAGTATGTTTGTCTGTGTGTCAATGTGTGTATCTATGTGTGTGTGTGTATCTGTGTGTCAGAGTTTTTATCTATGTATGTATGTGCCAGTGTGTGAACTGTGTATCTGTGTGCATGCGCCACTGTGTGTATCTGTGTGTCAAGATGTTTGTGTGTGTATGAACGTGTGTATGCGCCAGCATGTGTATCTGTGTGTTAGTGTGTGTATGTACCAGTGTATATATCTGTGTGTCAATGTTTATGTCATTTTGCCTTCACTGACACAATACTGCAAATGTAGTCCTGCAAACACAAACATTACACACACACACCCCTTCACTCAAACACTAATACAAAAGCCAACACTACATTCCAATACACTGCTGCATGCGAACAGCGAACAATACTTACAAATACACCCCTACATGCACACACATACACTCATGCAAAAATATGCTTCCATTCAAATGCCTGAACACTTCTCACAAGTACAACCCTGCAAGGATTGGCAAATGGTAGATCCCCAGCTGGCATAGCATCATTGAAAATGTACGAAAGATGGGGATCTACATATTCATCACTCTTGCACTACAGAAAGACCCAAAATGTTTCTTGCACCAGGGCCCTCTCTATATCAGTTACACCAGTGTTTGCAGCTGTAGGCTTAAAAATATGTGGATATGACACCTAGACCACTTCAGTGAGATTAAGTGGTTTTGGTACCTATAGTGTCCTTTTTCTAATGTACCTTTAAACTGACTTCTGATGCAGCATAGATGTCTTAGAAATGTGCTAGTGTCTAAAATTAGCCAGTAAATTCACTCCAATATTTCAGCAAAAGGTTAATGAATAAAATATAAAAATATACAAACTGTTATATTATTTTTTAAATCTTGGAACATCAACTTAGATGACTTGTTTGTAAGATGTGCATCACATATTTCAAAGGAATCTTACTAATGTTTTCAAAACAAAGAGTTATTCTGTTGTTAATTAGTGTTTTAATATGTAAAATTCTTTATATATATATATATATATATATATTAAAAAAAAATTACATTGCAGTATTCTGGCTCTTTCTGCATTTAAAACAGTTAATGCCTAGAGTAATTCATGTAAAAACAGGACCACAGGCATCATAACAGACAACAACAACAAAAAAGATTTATATTACAATGATGGAATCAGATCCCAGTTGAGACACTGGGTCAGTCAAATTCAAATTTGTATAGAAATACATTTTCCAGTAGAGCTACAGTAATAGAACAATTTGTGTTCAGCCAGTAAAATACATTAGATATGGTTAA